GCCCAGGGGCCCAGGTAGGAGCTGAGGCAGCCCCTCCCCCCCAGAAGCAGGCAGGAGAGCAATGCCTGGGGTCCTAGGCAGGAGCTGAGGGCAGCCCCCACCTCCTGGAAGCATGTAAGAGAGCATACTGAAAACTCTACTTCAGTGTGGGTGGCCCACCACAGCCACCACCACAGCCACAGCTGCCACAAAAGTGGCTCTATGCCACAGTAGTAGACAGAGCCACCATGCAGGCAACCTGCCAGACACTCAACTGCATCGACACAAGGAAAGTCAACAGTGAAGACCATAAAAAGAAGAGGATCTCTCTCTACTCAAAGCCCACTCCAAAGTAATAGAAAAAACAACTGTTCTACCAGATGGCCAGACACCAATGTAGTGATACTAGAAATATGAAAACCCAAGCAAACATTACACTACCAAAAAAAAATACAGTAATTCTCAAGTGCCAGACCTAGTAAAAGCAGGAAACCCTTGAAATGACTGAAAAAGGAATTCCAAGGAACAATCTTAAGGAAACTCACCGAGATATGAGAAGACTCAGGCAACATAATAAAACGAGGAAAAAAAAAATCCAGGATATGAAGGAACACATTTACAAAGAGATTAATACCTTAAAAAAGAATGTAGCAGAAGTCATGGAACTGAAAAATTCACTCAATGAAATAAAAAACACAACTGATAGCTTAAGCAGCAGGCTAGAACAAGTAGACAAAAGAATTTCTGACCTTGAAGATGGTCTTTTCGAAATAACCCAAGTAGATAAAAAAAGGAAAAAAGAATTTTAAAAAATGAAGGAAATCTAGAAGAGCTAGAAGACAAATTTAAGTGCATAAACATTCAAATCACAGTTGTTGCAGAAGGGGAGGAGAAAGGAAAAAGGCATGGAAAACCTACTCAGTGAAATAATAATGGAAAACCTTCCAGGTATAGGAAGAGACACTGACCTTCAGATTCAGGAGGCACAAAGATCTCCAAATAGATTCAACCCAAAAGATCCTCACCAAGAGCATTATACTCAAACTGGCAAAGCTTAAAGACAAAGAGCAAATCTTAAAAGAAGCAAGAGAAAGGTGTCAACTCACCTATAAGGGAGCCCCTGTCAGACTAACAGAAACTCTATTGGCCAGATGAAAATGGAATGGTATATTCAAAATACTAATAGAAAAATACTTCCAGCCAAGAATAGTATACCCAGCAAGGCTATCCTTCAGAAACGAGGAAAAAATAGTGTATTTTCCAGACAAACATAAGCTGCAGGAGTTCACCACCACAAAACCAGCCCTACAAGAAATCCCTAAGGAAGTCCTGCATCTGGAATCCAAAAAACGATAATCACTACCACGAATACACAAGAAAGAATAAAAGCCACCAGTAGAACGAAAACGTAAGTGAGAAAGAAAGAAACTAAATCTTAACACTATAAAAAACCATAATGACAATGTAATAATACCTGCTTTATTTCTGATTTTGGTAATTTTGGTCTTCCCCCTATTTTTCTTGGTTAGTATAGTTAAAGATTTGCAAATTTTGATCTTTTTAAAGAATCAGCTTTTGGTGTTGTTGATTTTCTCTACTGTTTTTTAATTCTCTATTTCATATATTTCTGCTGTAATCTTTGTTGTTTCTTACTTATATTTGCTTCTGGTTTAGTTTGCTCTTTTTCCCTTTCTTAAGGTAGAAGTTTACATTACTGATTTGAGATTTTTCTTATTTTTAATATAGGTGTTTATAAGTATAAATTTTCCTCTAAGCAATGCACGAGCCCTGCATCCCATAAATTTTGATATGTTGCACTTTGATCTTTATCTCAAAGTACTCTCTAATTTCCCTGTGATTTTTCTTTTTATTCTTTGTTCAATTAGGAGAGTGATGTTTAATTTCTACACATTTGTGAATTTTCTAAATTTCTTTCTGTTACTGTGGTCAGAGAACATATTTTCTATGATCTTAGTCTTTCTAAATGTATTATGACTTGTTTTGTGGCCAAAAATAAAAAACATTTGAGGCAAATAAAGGGCTTAGCCTGGCACATAGTAAGTGCTCAAGAATCCTAGTGATAGTTATGATTGGGGCTCTAAGCACCAGCAAGAAGGGCCAGTCCTAGGACATGCATGACTCTTGAAGCTTTGGTTTGTAGAGCAGGGTGGACTGCCCTGAGCCCCTGGTCCCACCCCACCTCAGCTTTGTCCCACCTCCTTTTGAAGGCTGCAATGACAGCCTCCAAGAGTGAGTTTAGATGTCAGGAGGGACTTGCTGATCCTAAGGGAGATGAGACAGTGCATAGTAACAAAGGGAGGCAGTGGCTCTTTCTCAGTATCTGGGCAAGCCTCCTGGTGATCTGGGCCTGGGGAGGGGGTTGGGAGGTGGAGGAGAGGGCCCACCTGCAGCATCAGCTCCAGGCAGCTGCATAGTCTGTGCAGCTCAGCACTGGCATCTGTCACTGGCCCTTGCCCATCGCCATAGCCCTGGAGGATGGCAGAGATGGCAGCTGTGGGGAGGATGGCAGACATCAGACATCACAGAGGGAGGCCTCTGAAGGAGAAGCTCCCAGGGCCCTCACTTCTCCTGCACCTCAGGTGCAGGAG